ATTCATTCATTCATTCATTCATTCATTCATTCATTCATTCATTCATTCATTCATTCATTCATTCATCTGCCCATCTCAAACCAGTGACTTTGGGCAGCAACATAAAAACAATTAAAACTATTACAAACACAATACATAAAAGAAATTACATATAAAAAGCAACCAAGAGATTATCTTGTTCCTTCATTGAAAAATTCTTCAAATATTTTCCTTGCTACGTATATGCACATATGTATAGTGCGGAATTGAATGTACAATGCAACCTAAATAGTATCACTCCTGTTTCAGTACAGATTATCTTCTGTATGATCAGCAACAAAATACATCTTGACTTTTTATTCCAGGATCCATTTTTATCCCTCTAGGCTTTAAATGATAGAATTATACATATATGTGAAGGGTGGGTCATTGGATACACTCTGTTTTTTTTAAAGTTTGCCAAGATATTTGGGAAATATGTTCAAAGAGGAGTAGGAAAACATAAGGATTGATTTGAAAGGCCTTAGAAGCCTTAGAAAAGCCATGACTGAATGACATGGCCAATAGTCAAATATAATATAAGGCAGCATCAACCTGTGTGATAATGTGAACAAACAAACATAAATCAAGCTAGCTGTGGAATAAGAATAAACTTTTTTTTCTGTCATAAGACAGAAGTATTTTGATAGGAAAACAAAGGAGCACGAATATTTCATGTATATCCAGTTGCTTTTTCTTTCTTGCACATTTTTTAAAAAAATTCTTTCAAAATATTTTAAAAACAATACTGTAATAGAGAACACACAGATGGAGCTACAATAGGGCGACTTTGATGGGAATAAGTATTATGACAGCCTCCATTCTCTTGTCAGAAAAAAGGGTGAAGACTTCATTTACTTCAAGTCATGGGTGTAATAGATTAAACTGGAGAATCTATTTCAGTCAGGGAAGGGTGGATGCTGATGAAGTTATGAGCTTCCTGCTTCTTTTAAAATGAAATATTTAAACAAGTGGAACCTTATGTGGTTGATGCATTAATGTGACACTAGATGTAAATCAAACAATACCTAAATGTCCTTTAACAAAGTCGATTACCTTATATAAGCTTAACAGAGATGGAGCTCCTTTATTCTACACTTCTGCCATTTTTTTCCGTGCCTGGAGAGATAAAGACCTTTCTATAAAGGTAGAATATTATTTATAGACACTTGGTGGTGTGCTATAAATTGCATGGAATCTTTAAAAAAAGTAAATAAACAGCAAATGTAAAAGAAGTAAATTAAACAACAGATGCATTTCATCTTGATGGTGTTGTCCTTGCACAGATGAACTATCTATTGCAAATATCAACACAGTTCCTGAAATCATCTGTGTTAGATTACATAGATAACATCTACAAAAATACTTCTAAACTAAATGTGTCTGGACTTCAAATTATCTGCAAGTAAACACTGAGATTTGCATTAGATTTTGACTTTGAAACCTATTATTGTAAGTTCCTTGCTGACTTTAGTGCGATGCTTTCTTTTATGCCTCAGAAAAGAAAGGTGTAAGAGGCAGAGTGTTCATTTATAGATGTTTGCAGACTGTTTTTTTTAGATAAGACCCATTTAAATCTCTTTTGAAGGTCAATCCCAATGCATATGATTCAAGAAGTTAAAAATAACCCTGAGAGAAGATGTCTTGGCAAAAGTATCTTTTAAAATGCAAAAGCACACACAAAAACATTGATAGGATGAACTTAGCATTAGACATGCTATTTGTATTCTAAAGCATTTTACCTCCTTAATGCTTCTAATAAAGAAACTCTAAATGGGTGTATTTGAAATAATTATGGGGAAATAACATGCAAGATTATTTATATATGATATATGCTAAACAGTAACGTATCCATTATCAGGTTTGTCTACTTACAGTCCAGACTTCTGGTTCCACCACAAATGCGCGCACAACAAAAGCGTGCCTGACTAAACCGCGGTGTCTAAAGCGCGGTGACAAAACCGCG